ACAATATCCATCTTAACTTGTGGAGGAACATGAAGCACAAAGGCTTCTGAAAACCTACAAGTGTTCAAAAAAAATTACTTGATAGCTACTAAATTATATGTGGGAAGGACAAGCAATTCTTGTCTGTTTACCTGACCATTTTCATTTCATATTGCCTAAACCTTTTAAGTACTGCCTCTAAGGAGCACATTTTTATAATTTAGAATAGTTCTACTAGAAAGGTTTTATGACACAACATAAACTATATGTCTTCAGAAACTAATATATCAAGTATCACAGTTGCAGAAACATAACAAAAATGTAGCCTAGCAAGGGGAGAAATAATGTTTCTCCATCTGTTTTCAAGGAAGATCATAAGTTTGGTATGTAAGCAAGTTACTTCACTTCCTAAATTTATTTGAAAAGCTTATTCTTAAAAGCTGGGAATTGGATCAAACTACAGAACATTTCAAACACATGGAGTCAAATTAGCAGCAGAATTTTTGCTTTAAAAATGGCATCTGTTGAAAGTTTTTGATACAGTTTCTTTATGGGGAAAGTTATATGTACATTTGGATATTGACAGAAAGCACTTACATTAAATCCGGCTATGTTCTTACTTCTGGGAGGGAAATGTAAGGAACTGATGTTGCTTGCCTGAAAACATGTGTCAATATTACCCAAAACTGAGACCTATGTAGTTCACTAGTGACTTTGGTTAGAAACCTCTACTAGCTCAATACTGCAATCCTAAACTAGGCTCGCCAAGTCCCCCTGGGGGGCGGGGAAAACCCCGCCCGAGAGGCCCGTCACCCGCCGCCAGTGAATCAGACCCCGGGGGGAACCCCACCCCCAAAGCACACACCATGCCTGGTGTCAGCACGTCACCCGGAAGTGACGTGATCACGTTGGGCACGTTGGAAGTGGGGCCACAATCATCCGAGGGAAAACTCCTATGGCCCACTATCCAAATCAGGGATGAGAGGCTTCCAGGAGTATGCTGTGAGCAAAAGCCTTGCTCTCTCACAGAATATCACCAATTCCAGTCCAGGAGTTTCTTGCAATATAGTGAGACCCTGGCTACACCAGTACTGTGAGTTCTTTTTCAGGATCCAGGCTACACACCAAATAATTACTGCTTTCTTAAAATAAAGAAGAAAATCTATTACAAGAAAAGTTACAAAAATTACAAATATCAGTACATGTTCAAGTTCCCAAAGCACACAGAAAAAAATTAAACACCCTAACCTATACTTTTTCCTAATTACAGGAGGTTTATCTTACAGACATAAAAAATAAGTCTTATGAAAACAAGATCGATAATACCTTCTTCTCCTATTCAGTCAAAGCTGATAAAGAAATGGAACAGTCAAACTGAAAAGAAACATGCTTTAGTAAAGTAACAAGTGTACAACAATGACCTTTCTTCACACAGCAAGTTTATCTAACCTGGCCCTCTCAAGCCAAAGGGGTGCAATTCTAGCTCACCTCCTCGTGGTGCACCTTGGATAATGCTAAAGAGCTAGAACTAGGCTTGCCAGTCCCCAGGTGTGGGGGGGGATCCATCGATTTCATGGGCTCCTGTCTGTCGCCAGCCAGCTGGCTGGTGGGGAAAAGCCCCACCCACAACAGTGACCACTGGCAGCCACCCTTATCTCTCCCCTCCTGTGAGATTTAAAGGATCCTCCAGCTGATCGGCAGGAGCACATGGCCCACTGATCAGATGGCCCTTTAAATCTTGCAGGAGGGGAGGGATAGGGGTGGCTGCTGAACTCCTTGGAGTACGCCTGAACTCCAAGCGGTGAATTCGCTGCTTGGAGTTCAGGCATGGGCAACCCCCACTTGCAAAAAACCATTTAAAGGGAAAGTTCTGGTGCTCTGCTAGCTGCACTGGCTCCAAGCTGAATACTGGATCAGGTTCAAGGTTTTGATTTTAACCTATAAAGCCCAACACGGTCTTGGACTAACATATCTTTGGGACCATCTCTCCTGGTATGTCCTCCAAAGAAAATTGTGCTCTATGGACAATAGTCTCCTGGAGGTCCCCAGCCCCAAAAGTGTTTGTTTAGCCTCAATCCCCAGCCTGGTGGAATGCCTTTCTAGAAGAGATCTGAACCCTGCAAACTTTGATGTAGTTTCACAGGGCCTGCAAGACAGAAACGTTTTACCAGGTCCATGGTTGAGGCAGCGAAGTTCCATAGGAACTGGCCTCCCCCAGCCCCTTGACCGTCATCTATCCTGTCATTGTACCAGCTTTTCCATCAACATACAGGCTGTACGATCTCACTTTGGATAACTAATGTTATTCTGTGCCTTATATTGCTATCTGATTTTATCTTTAAAAAACAAACAAACAGGAGCCAAGTTTTCAAAATGGTGGCATCCTTTAGAGATGCTAACGCTTGTTGCAAAGAAGGATGGTATACGTTGTGTCTGGTATCAAAGTGGAACTTAGAAAACAAAACTGGAAGATGTGATGCTGCTCTTTGTCACGTATACCATCCTTCTTTGCAACTAGCACTGTAACTTTTCTTCACCTGTGTGTTCATTTGTAGCATCACTTTCTCTATTGGTTTATATACATTTCACTTATTAAATGCAGTAGGGAGCCCAACTGTGGTTTAAGGCTACAATCCAAGCTATAAAGAGCCGCCCTCAATTGAACTCAATGGGTCTTACGTTTTGGGAAACATATTGGAATCGTACTAGAACCTTTCTGTTGTTTACTGTTAAAACATAGCACTAGTCACTATAGATTAATAGTTCAATGTTTGTTTTACAAAACCACCTTCTTTATACCTGAAGTTCATCCAAACAATTTTCTTCTCTAAATATTGCCAGGAAATTAAAGAATTCTTGCCCTTCTCATCATTTTTCAAGAGCATGTCAATAGTATGTCAAGCACATCACTCATAGAATTAGGAGATACCACAAGAACTGTCCAGTGCAGCAACCTGTAGTCATAGAATTTCTCAGAGTTATTTATACACAGAAGCATTTTTGTTGCATCCAGTTTGAATGAAGGACCAGCTTGGGGGAGCTCTTAGAGCTCATCTGAGGCTTGAAATGCATTTGTTTTGTTTTTGCTTATTTTTAAAGAAAGAAGCTTTCTACATTGGTCCATGCTTTGGTCACATAAGCTCCCCTCACACCCCACCTGGTAGCAGAAATAGTACAAAATTACTAGCATCATGCAAGCCAGGGATATATGTTCCCCAAATAACAAACCAAGGATCATTGCAATGTTATTAGGAAGCAAGAGTTGCCTTTCATACATTCTGTTTAATGGCCCTTTAAGTTGTAACATTTCGTTTCAAAGCTTGACCTGAAGGAATTGGTGACAAAATTTGCTAAAGAAAAGGCATGCAAAATGAGATTCTGCTGTGCCTAAAATGGAAACATTAAAGAGACTTAAATTTGAGCATCGCAGTTAACAGGATTTTTCAAAATGCTTTGTGATTTTTGTTTTTCTGTCTGAGAGAGAAAATCAGAGATTGTATTACTTGTTCTCACAATAAAAAAAAAAGAAATTAGCAATTTCGAATTTTCTTCCTAAAATGCATTTATGTTTGAAAATTGGTGGGTCGGGGGGGGGGGGGGGGAGCACCAGAAGGTATCCTTGCCTAGTGTGCAAAAAAACCTGGGGCCAGCCTTGCCCAGGTCCATGGCTAGGAGGGTTCCCATGGGTTTCCAGACCCCCCTAAATATCTGTGGAGCCCCTTTCTAAATCCCACATGGCTCCGCCTCCATAGATAGTGATAATGGCCTGTGATGTCACTGGCTCCTCCCTATGATGTCACTGGGCCTCGGTTCTTTACGGGTCTTGCATAGCAATGCCTCTTGCCCAGCCCCAGCCCCCCCCCCCCGGGAAATTGGAAAGTCTACACCCCTGATGACAACCTTCTAAACCCATGGATTTACAAGCATAAAACTCTTAGGATGGTACTGTAGGTGTCAAATTCAATGCTGACTGGAAAAATTACTACTCATTTCAAATGTTAATGGATTATAATATAGGGCCCCTGCCACACGGGGGAAAAAAGAACGGCCAAAGTGCGGCTTTTTAGAGCCACACCAAAAGAGACATGCGGCGGCGGGATCAGATAGATCTCCTGAGCCGCCGCACAGTTCCTCCCCGGCACGATCAGATGCCGGGGGGAAAGCCACTGAAGGGAGAGCGAGGCAGCCGAACTGTGCATGTGTGCGCATGCACAGTTCAGCTGGGAGCCTCGATTGCTCCGGAAGACGGGCGCACCGGTGATCTCACGGCTGCACTTGCTGCACCGTTTCCGGTAAGTCCTGCTCTTTTGCAGGTTCTTTTTTGCAGCGGGTTTTCTGGCTGAAGGGACGGATCGGGGATGGGTGCGCACTGCTTCCCAGACGTTGCGGTTTGATCGCGCCCGTTTGCTGCGCCCCCGATCCATCCCTCTTCCGGGCCAAAACCTCCCATGCAACCGGGGCCTAGGTAAATTTTAAAATGTGTTGCATTTGGACTGAGAAAGGTTTGCCAACTCCCAGTTGGGAAATTCTGGGAAACTGAGGACAGAGCATAGGTGGGGCTGCGTTTGGGAAGGTGAGAGCGCCCACCCTCTGAAGCTGCCGTTTTCTCCAGGGGAACTGACCTTTGTCATCTGGAGATCAGATGTCATTCCAGAAGAATTCCAGGCCCCACCTGGAGGTTGGTAAGTAACCCTAGACTGAGGAAATTGTTAAAATATAAAATAAAAAAACAGTATGCAGCAACCCTAAGCCACATTGTTTCATAATAAGACATACACCAATGCAATTATAAACTCTGAAAATAATTTATTTACTATTCATTTAGAAAATGTGTGTGTTATCTCTCAAAAGCTGCTTGAGGCAGATCAAAAAGCAACCTGATAATAATTGAAGTATAGTTCTAAGCAGAGTTGCACCTTTTTAGGTCTATTGAAGTAAGTGGGTTTAGACAAGTGTAACTTTCTTTAGGATTGCACTATTATAAAAAACAACAACATCGCTATGGCATTGAGTTTTCTCACCCGGGTGGAGGTTTTTCTGTCCATTCAGTTTCCTGTCTTCAAGGACTGTAATTGAAAAGCTATGTTGTGTAAGGATGTGTCGATATAACTGAAGATCTTGTTTGCTGTCGGAAGATGGGATGTAAATTATCACGGTTTTTGCCTGACTTCTGTAGTACTTAGAAATGGCATCCTCAATCTAAAAGAGAAGAGACAAGATCATATTCCTTCAGAGAGTAGCTCTGTTGATCTGCAGAACAGTAGCAACGTAGAGACCAACAAAATTTTGGGGCTATAACCTTTTGAGAGTCAACACTAACTTAGTTAGATACAGGTCAGAACGGAGATCCCAGAGTCCTTATATCCCTGTCAGAAGGCGGGAAGGATACTGAAAAGAAGGGACTCAGGAGGCAAAGGTACAATGCACATTATAATCAGCTTGATTAGCACAGAGGCCAAATGCTTAGGGGCAGAAAATTAGCATCTATAGTGAGATATGAATCCTACATCCCTATTTGGCCCTGGAGGATCCATTGTTCAGAATTTGTAAATGAACTCAAGTTCAGCCATCTTGAGTTGTAATCTCCTCTTGAAGCTTCTCTGTTTGAGGACTTCCACTCTTAAATCAGCAATGGGATGTCCTGGAAGATTAAAACATTCTGCCACTGGTTTTTGAGTGTTGTGATTGTGTCCATTTATTTTTTTTGCATAAGGACTGACCTGTTTGTCTGATAGAGAGAGTGGAAAGACTCTGTTGACATTTGATGGCATATATAATGTTGGGAGATGAACAAGTGAATGAACTTGAGATGGTATGGCTGGTGTTGTTAGGTCTGGTGATTGTGTTGTCAGAGTGAAAATGGAGACAGGGCTGGCATCTTGGTTTTTTGCAGGCCCTGGTTCCAAAGGCCGTGTCCATGTTCAAAACTGCATGGTTGTGAGTGAGAAGTTGTTTAAAGTCAAGAAAAGAACAGTTTGTCTCCCAATTTCTGTGAGAGAGAGGAATATCATTTCCCAGCATAGATTATAGGTTGTTAATGATGTGTTTATCCAGTTTGAACTGACACCTGTATGTGACCAGAAGTAGTGTTCTACTGTTGTTTCGTGTGTGGGCCTGTCTTGTAGCAGGTTGTCCCTTTGTATCACTCTGGCTTTGTTGAGTACTGTAAGGGAATCCTATGGACCACTAGATATTATGCCTCCAAAATGTGTCCATATATTTGTCTGCAGTAGGTGGCTATTGCTGTTCTTGTTTTAAAAGATTTTGCAATGGAACAGTACTGACTTTCTGTGTCTATTTTGTGGAAATAGCAGAGTTGAGCCACTAGAGAAAAGTACTCTTCAACTGGAAAAAAAGAACCTGGGAAATTTCACTAGGTAATACCTTTACTATTTGGCTTATATGGACTCTGTACTAAACTAAAATTAATCTTCAGTGTTGTTAATATCTGAAATCCAATTTATTTCAATTTCAGTCCAATTACCACAATACACAGATCAAACATCATAAATTTCACAACAGAAGAAAAATACATTGACTTAACTGGTTTTAGTTGCACTCTGACTGCAATACGTAAACATTTTGTCCCTGATAATATTACTGCATTGTTATGATAATAAAAGAACTACTACATTTTCTTGCGCTTGCTCTCAGCCTCTGAAGTATGAAGGCTATTTCCTCCGGAGGAATCTGACCCACAGTTGCACAATCACAACTCCCTTTGAAGCTGTGGCCACAGCCCATCTGTGTGTGATCAGACGCAAATGTGGGCGAGTCAGATTTTTTTTTGTGCCGTTTGTTTCCTATGCAAGACGGAGCTCTTCCACCAGGCGTTTATGTAGGGGCCGCCGCCTTACCACCAACGGTGGAAGACCATCAAGATTGGGAGTGTCCTTGATACCATGGCGACAGGATGACATATGCGGCAGCAAGAGTAGCTGACTGATTTGGATGATCTTAAGGATGAACAACTTTGACCATCTTGGAAGAAAAAGCACTTTATTGTTAAATGCACCTTGTTGTTATTAGTATGTATTGGTTTTAATTTTATGATTTTATAGGATTGTATTGGTTTTATGTATGGGCTCATGCCCCTGTAAGCCGCCCTGAGCCCGCTTGCGGGGAGGGCGGGGTAAAAATGTTTAAATAAATAAATAAATATGCGCTTAAATGAGAAATTGGTGAACTGCACCTCCACACTGAGGGCTCCCTATGGAGTTTGCAATGATGTGCATACTGCAAAGGGGGAAAGAACAATGGTATAGAGTTGGGATGGCCTGATCAGACCATCCCAACGGCATGAGAGCACGCTGGAGCTATCAGACAGGGGAAAGCCCATCCATGGCCCATCGCAACCCATTTACTACCGGATTTCCCCGGTGTCCTTTAACTCCACTTCTGCAGCGGAGCTGAATGGGTTGCCGATGGCTGCGGGGCGCTTCCCAGATTTTGTCTGATCGCACCCTTTAAATCTGCCCGGCATTTGCAGCTATGTCGGGTCTAATTGTGTGTATGATCACAGCCTATATGTTGCATTTGGCAGAATATTCCATCTGAGAGACATTTGATCAATTATTGGTGGCGGAAGCACCATTAAGTTGTAGCTAACTTAAGGCAACCCCATACAGTTTTCAAGGCAAGAGACTAAGAGGTGGTTTGGCATTGCCTGACTCCTGGTAGGCCACAGTCAAACAGGCAGCTTATCCCACTGTTGCTGCAGCTCTAATTTGATCTAGATCTTTTTGTTTTGCTGTGGTTCGACCAGACAGCTCCCCTCTTAGCACTGACTCTGTGGTTGAGCATCCAGACTTTCGCTGGGTGGCAACCACCAGGTGTGCAATCAGCAAGTTTTCAAAGAAGTTCTGTGTTTGCACATGGACACAGGAACTTACTTGAATTCTTAGTTTTTCATGCATGTGCAGAAACACCAACTTAAATCACCCACCACTTCCAAAAAGACTGCCATAGGTATCTGCCCAGGGACTATTTGTACTAACATCAAACCTCAATAAAAATGCAAAATCACCTGGCTAGTGCTGTGACAGTTGCGGGATACCCCCCCCCCCACATTCACAGTCCCCAAAAAGAAATAAAGCACAGGAGCACCCACACGTTTGATAATATGTGTTGGTATTCATGCAGTTATGCACATATCACTGACAGAGTAGAAAAAATTGAAGGGATGGTTCACTTCCATGCTATCTTGATTGCATGGGAGATCGACCAGACATCCACAGATCCACAATAATGCCAGTAGGTTCAGCAAATACCAGACTTTCTGAGGGGTCAAGAAAGTCAGGGGTAAGGACAAGAGGCTGATGGCTGCAGGACAGGAGCCAGATGTTGCTGTCTGAATTAATGCTTTAAATCTGGAGGGGAGGAGTGATGACCACAGATCAGAGTGCCTGTCTGATCTCAGTCGTAGCAACCCTGACCTTCTTTGGTGGTCTACCAATTCACCAGGCCCAACCCTGCTCAGCTTTCGAGATTTTATGAGATTGGGCTAGCCTGAGCTAGCCAGGTTAAGGTGATCAATTATTGCATGTTTTGTTTTAAACAGATAGCTTCCATTTTTTCCTTCTTGGTTCCTGCATATCTAAAGCATACCTGATTCCAACCAGACAGACCATCAGCCCATGGGAAAAAGCAAAGTACAGGATGCAAAGAAGCCATAAGATTATGGCCTGAAATATTTTTAAAATAACTTCCAGTTTAGTGAAGAGTTCTAGATCAGAGCTGGGCCATGATTTTTGTGCACCATTTGAACATTAGGTGAGATTGTGCTATGCACAATTCTTTCTGTACATACAGCTGCTACTTTATAACAGGGCTTAACCCCTTTTAGTGATGTATGTTTCTGTTTTTGTGCATGCATACTGAAATCCTGATTTATCCGTGTATGTGTTCATGTGTACTGAAGCAGAAACATATGTATGTTACTCTATTCACACAGAATGGTGATTGTGTGTGTTGTGTGTATAAAGCAGATCAGCTTCTCCTAATGTTTGAATGCCCCCCATACAAAAAAACCCATAAACCAACTTTAGTTTTAGTAAAAGGTATTACATGGCTTTTGTTTTTGGATCTCACTATTTAAAGCATTATCAAAAATGTTTGGGGGAAAAAACAATGAAAACATCATTAGGACAGATACACAGCCTTTCTCTTTAAATTGCCCATAAATATACATTATTTCTACATCCACTAAAAAGGGAAGTTGAAAAAGTGAAAAAGTGGATAGACAAACTTCACATCTGCCAAGTTTATGGCTGGGATGCTTACAGGAATGATTATGTAAACAAGCCATTCTGGGTCTTCCAAGGGGTGTCTGCTAAAAGCAGAATGGCAGATGTTTCAATACAAACAAATGCCACTGAAAATGCTTCCAGTTGTTGATGAGTCTGGTAGCCAGCTATAAAGTGACTCCCATAGCAGTCTTTTCTGCAGTCTCAGGAAGTAGCCTTATGTTACACTTGGCTCAAGTGTGAGATTCTTTGCAGGAGGGAGACACATAGCTGAGCTAGATCTTTGATGAATAGCTAATAGCTCTCTGGTTTTAATACCGAACATCCATCTTTCCCTGGCTGCAGTCAATACAAGGGACACCTGTTAAAATATTTGCTTCGTATTTTATTCAATGTACTGAACAAACAAATAAGTCAAGAAGATCTGAAATATTCCAGCAATCAAGCACAAGAATGGGAGTAAATAGGAAGTGATCATCTCACAGGAGTTGTATTACACAGTCTTGTAATTCAACCTCTCCCTGTCCTTGTTGTATTTATATCCTAATAGTGAGAGAGGAAGTACTAGTTTACCTCAGAATACCCCTTCTTTCTATATTTATATAATTTACATTCTCCTCTGTCCTTTTTTACCCCTTTCATCCACTATCCTCTTCCTTAGTCTCCCTTCCCTACTACTATTATGCTCAATCAATCTTCAGGGTTACCAGGACTTCCTGCTAAGTTCCTCTTTTCCCGTGGATTTACTACTAGCAGTGCAGTGAACCGGAGCACACCCTCTACAACCTTACTTCAGGAGATGCAGCTGGATCAAAACTTTACAGGTATATGATGGGCCAGTGATGTAAGTGGTCCATGGTGGCCACTGCTAGCCATTCAGCAGGTCACATGGTACTGATCCTGCTGACTGGCTTCTTCTGCCTCCACAAGCAATACCTGTAATACTGGTGTGCC